TATATATATATATATATATATATATATATATATATATATATATATATATATATATATATATATAGTCATCCACAGACAGACTGTTTCGCTGTATCACAGCTGTTCATTGTGCTAGACGCCCCATTGCTTCAAGCCGAGATCGAAACTCGAACGATTTCGAGATTCTACTCCTAAGCCTTTATATACAAAATACGCGAGTGACTAAGAGGACTCAACTCGTAATTGAAGAGTAATGCATTCATAGAAGCGGTAGCAACTGCTTTAATTAAATTTACCCTTTTCTCTAGAGTGCTCTATCGAAGGGTATGAAAAGATTACTTAACTTTCAAATATCAATTTTATCACAACTTCTTGGTAAAATTTCCAGTATTCAGGAGTGCCCTGATACTGGAAATTTTACCAAGAAACTTCGAAGAAGGGATAAAACTGATATTTAAAAGTTAAATATTCTTTTCATATAATATTGTTAACACTCTATTTTTAATATTATCTTAATATTTTTAATATTATCTTAATATTTTTAATATTGAAAATTATATATAAAAATATCTGCTGTTTCTTAAATCTTAAATCTTCTATAATCCATTTCCAACCCTAATCGTGACAAACAATAAGCCCGGAACTACTAGATCTTTTCAGTAATATAAAACATGCAAGAAAAAATATGTCCGACTTCATTTTTATTTCCTGTCTCGTTCAGGCGTTTCTAAAAATTCTTTATCGTGCTTCCATTTCGTCATAAAAGCCAACTAATAAACAATAATTATTAATAATATATTTTTTATTAATCTATTTTTATTAATCTATTTTATTAATATTATTTTTATTAATATATTTTTTATTAATATATTTTAATAATATTATTTTTATTAACATATTTTTATTAATATATTTTTATTAAAATTATTTTCATTAATATATTTTTTATTAATATTATTTTTATTAATATATTTTTATTAATCTATTTTTATTAATCTATTTTATTAATGTTTTTTATTAATATATTTTTATTAATATATTTTTATTAATATTATTTTATTAATATATTTTTATTAATATATTTTTTATTAATATTATTTTTATTAATATATTTTTATTAATATATTTTTTTTATTAATATTATTTTTGTTGCTTTTCCTCTCACGAATTTCTTTCATCGGCCTTCAAGATCTTCATATTGTAAGAATAAGATGCATACGTGGACAATCTGTCTGTATCATTATATATATATATATATATATATATATATATATATATATATATATATATATATATATAGGATAAGTAAAACATTATCCACTCTTTCGCCATAGTCTTCTACTCATGCGTGCTTATAGTTGGTACTATCATGGTCACGGGATCGAATTTTGAGATTCATCCCACGAGTTTTTTTGCTAGTTTATTGTGTAAATATGGTCACCTCTCTAGCAGTGTGCCCTAAGAAGAGACAAAGACCAGCGATGCGATTTCTATGGTCGGAATGTATGTCAGGGGCTGAAATGCATCGAAGGCTTTTAACACAATACGGCGACAGAGCATTACCGAAGAGTGTATGAGTGGAATGAAAAGATTAAAAGTGGCCGGACAAGCGTGAGGCACGAAGAAGGAGTAGGATGCTCGTTAACCTCCACCACTGACGAGGAGATTCAGCAAGCTTGGGAGATGGTAATGGCAAACCGGGAGAGTTATGATAGATGAGGTAGCATGCCCTCTGCTCTTTGTTGCTCCTAGCGGAACGGTCATGTTTACACTGTAACAACAGCAAGATAACTGGCGCGAACAAGCTCAATCTTCAATCACGTGACCGCAATATTACCAACTATAAGCACGGATGAACAGAAGGCAGTGTGGCAAACCTGAGGATATGTGGCGAAAGTACGGATAATTTTTGGCTTACTCTCGAATATATATATATATATATATATATATATATATATATATGAAGAATGATAATCATATGATGTTTGGGCTTTTGGTCAGTCTTTGGTACGTTGGTCGGGCTGAGATCTTTTATCATCGTAAAATTATATAACATACTATGATTTTAATGGCGACTTTATCTCGTATTCAAGAATGTAATTTCTTCTTGACTGATCACTTCCTTTATGATGATGGCAATGATGACTAAAATTCGCGGCCAATGTGTTGGTTCAGGACTTGAAGCTTCCAGTTTCACCAATAATTGCTCCTGTCGTCCATTTTCTATCGCAGTTTAGCTTTGCAAGTGTTGGTTGAAAGGGAATGAAAACCAGAGCAGAAGACTGTGCCGATTGCGTGAATTTGTTTAAGGTGGATTTCAACTTGTCAGGAAGTGACCCCCATATATTATTTCATGACCTTTCTCGGTATCACATAGATTCTAATATATCACAGAGATATTTAGCAAAACGATGGTTGAATAAATCAACCGAGTTTATAATAAGTTTTAATAGAAATATTTTATCGTTATCCTTAATTTTATACACTTTAGGCATCCATACAAATGTGCTGGAGTCAATACGCTTTTTTTTTCTATTTCTTTTTTTACAGTAAGGGTCACCTTGTACAAAGTTCGGGGAGCCACTCGAGGTAGAGGGTTACGTTAATGGGTAGTTTATATAGATAAGAGGGGAAGGTAATGATTAAATCTAGACTTGAATAGGTTAAGATTGTAGCGAATAGGGAAACATTCACTTAGGAGTCTCTTCCACAGAGCAGCTGTTCGTGGGTAGGAGCTGTCCGAGTGGAACATACTTCTCACCTATGGAATACGGAAGGAATGTAAGTATAGTCCTGGGTATGACGATATCCTGTATCTGACATCAAGGCCTCTGATCGGGAGGTTTTGAGGAGCGTGGAACCACCTCTTAATTGCTGGTGTTTCCAGGTACACTCTAATCCAGGGTAGAGTCATAACTCTGGGAAAACAGTGTTATGGTCCGGTTCCTTGTACCACGGTGATAGTCCAAGGTAGAACCAATAAAGAGGAACTCGAACACGTATATGGAATAACACAGGTATATTACAAACAGGAATCTATACAGAGAGGTAGAAAAGTGTTAGTACGAACAGTCAGGTTTAGTAGTAATTGTCTGAACGCGACTCTGTTTCGGACTGCCTCTGACTCGACTGACTGACTGACTCGCTCTGACTGACTGACAGACAGACTCCTGACGGACTTGACGTCAGACTGAACTCCAGATTTCAGACGGAACGGTATTTAGCCAGCCTCCACAAGGGCATCATGTGGCACAAGGCCAGTTTAACGTGGGATCTCCGAGCCTGTGGGCTCGGCCAAAAATATGCCCTTTGAACCCGTATAAACGTAGTCTCGTTCGGGTTCCTCCCCCGCCCGAGAGTTCAACCAATCAGCCGGTCAGCCGACTTCGGACTGAACTCCCTGCTTCCTCTTGAGGCGCAATATTTATTACGTATTGAATAGTCCATTATGTTATTATGGGTAAGGTCCCATAACAAATAGTTAACCTCCAAACAAAGGTCAAAACACCATGAAAGTATAAAATACATTTTATAGTAAAATTACTAGTAGTACATTTTCATACTAAAAAAATTACCAGCAATACATGGAATATTGCTGCCATATATGGTCTGGAGCTCCTTCTGTTTGCCTCGGGCTTCTTGATAGGCTCCAGAGGCGGATATGCAATATAATTGGCCCTGTTCTGGCGTCTCGTCTACAGTCACACTCCCACAGACGCGCCATCGCTTCTCTCTGTCTTGTTTACAAATACTTTCATGGCAATTGCTCCGAGGAGCTGCATTCGCTGGTTCCCAGACTTCATGAGTTCAAGCGCCCGACGAGGCTGGCATCCAGCTCTCACCACTTCACTGTCGAAACTACTAAATGTAGCCGTCTCTTCTACGCCAATAGCTTCATGTCTCGTACCTCTCGCCTGTGGAACTCCCTTCCCTATTCCAGTTTCCCTGAGAGCTATAATCTCCAACTATTCAAATGTAATGTCAATCGACATCTCCAGTTGCTATCCACTATCCTTCTCCTCATCTTTTCCTCTATCACTTCTATCTGATCTTGCTCCAAATCTTCTGTAACCCCTTGCGTCCTAGTGGCTTCTCGCCTTGCTTGGGGTGAAACGTTTAAAAAAAAATAATAAAAAAATACATTTTTGTAAAAAGAATTACTAACGCTCCAAGGATAATTAAACTTCGGCATTAGATGACCCATAAGGAGTTGATGTGCCGCTAAACAGAACAAAACAAAAAAATAAATGTAAGTAGTATGGTGAATCCCGGAGGAACCACGGAATGCAAATTCGGGCGAGGAAGTGAGAAGGTGGAAAATAATTCTTTTCCAGGAAGGACTCGGAGATACTATCAAAACTAGAAAGTAAGAACTGGGCAGTTCCCGCTCAAATATGACAATAATACGCCATTTTGGGACTGATCTGGATCTTATAAAAGTATAGGATAACATGGACAGCCAGATACTTACTAGAACGGTACAGGGCCATTTAACCTGCATCTTTAGCAATGGATCGTATGTAAGTGTTCAACTTCAGGTTGGGCGTGAATTTGAGGCCCACTATTCTCTCAAAGTGCCTCCTCGAAGGAGCCCCCGTTCATCGTGACTGGCGGTAGTTCAGGTTTTGACCGGCGATGATAGAATGTACCGAGATGGGTAAATATATTTTATAAATTCCACTGTCAATAATATTTTCATTTGTTTTTAATGATAAGAAAATTTGCATTTATTTTCCTTACAAAAGATTTCATTGTTTTTTTTTTTTTAAATATTCCCATCCGTTTAATTTCTTTTAACAAATTTTGTTAATCATTTAAAGAATATTTAATAATCCTTGAGAATAATCCTTTCTCGTCATTTATTAATATACACTTTCCTTTGGTTTTGATGTCCGGATACAGAAGAATCACATCTTAAACATTCGCATGTGATGTGTTGCCATCTACATGTGCGTGTGCTGAAATTGTATTCGTAATTTCTTACATACAGATCCATAGATAACAGTATAGAATCAAGAGTGATGGACACCATTTCCAAGTATGTGTATGCCTGTGAAAGAGATGGACAGATCTAAGTGAAACATTACACATTCAATCTACGCTCGCGATTCGAGTATTGCCTCGTTCCCACCCCTGTTTTCATTTATCTACTTAGGTCTGTTTTGGTCGGACACGATTTGAGCAATCCCAGCTTCCCTGTAAGCAAGGTCCCTAACCCCTTCTAACAGATTAACAGGAAACGCTTCAAGAAATAAACAAGCTCTTCACCCACTCCCCCCAACTATCTCTTTGTTTTTCTTCCGTAAATCTTCGATTTTTGTCTCTATTCGGCCTTTTTTTTTGTCTCCGCTCTCGTTTGCATTTATGCTTTCTTTCTCTCTTATAAACTCTATTCTCTCCCTTATAGCTTTCTAACCGTCCTTCTTTCTTTCTTTCTTTCTTTAAATTTACTTGTTTCATTATTTTTCGATTTTCTTCAAACATCATTCCTTTCAACATTTACCTGCTTTTTGTTTTTCTCGCGTTCTTAACTTCTTTTTGTTCGTTTTCTTCTACTCTTCTCTGTTTTGTTTGTTTGTTTCTTTCTTTCTTTCATTTTCTTGTTCATTCACCAGTTTCCTTCTCACGCTTTTTCCAAATTATATTCACTTCTTTTCGTTTTTTCTCTCTTACAAAATATTTCTTCATTTACTAATATTTTCCCCTCTTGCCGCCTTTATGCTTTTCAAACTTTTCTTTGCTTTCATTCTTTTTACTCTGTCTTTTCGCCTTTAATTTATCATATACTTCTATTTTATTATTTTCCTTACCCCCCACACTGTCTCGCCTTTGGACAACTTTTCCCCCTTTCCTCTTACAGATTTAACCCGCCTTCTCTTTTTTCCTTCCTGCTTTCTTTTTTCCCCTTCCCTTCCTTCCTCCCTCCCTCCCTTCCTTCCTTCCTGCCTTCCTTCTTTTTTTTTTCACACTTTCTTTTTTTTTCTGATATATCTGTTAAGAGATCACTGTTTTACATGTGACTTATTTTATGGCATGAATAAATCTTCTCTAATGTCCGCACATTGGCAAAATCCTATTAAGCCCAAGTAAATTAGTTTCTTTCGTTAATCTACTTATTTTACTTACCCATTACTTAGTTTGGGGATAAGAGACGCGTGCAAATAGTTTCTGTATTTATGCGTCTTTTGCATATTTGCGATATTTACACATACTTTAGTCCCATACACTTTCTGCGCATGTCATTAATACAGACGGCTTTAAGCAGTTTTCTTTCTTATACGCTGACATAAAACTCTCCTTTTTTCGTCACTCGTCTCTTTTTATAAATATTTCACCTGTTTTGATAAACCTTTCCTTATTCAATTTCTCATTTTACCGTAATTTCCATTTTTCTTTCTTTTTTAATCAGTTCATCCTAAGCAAGGCGAAAATGCCACTAAGACACAAGGGGCTACTGGGGAGGGGGTGAAAGAGAATGAGAAGATTTTAGAAATAACTGGGAACGCAATCCTAAAGAGAAAACCAGGGATAAACCTCTAAGCCTGTTCAAAAGATTGGGGAGGAGTGTGAACTGAACACGATCGTTCTTCGTTCTTTCTCTCTCTAATTTTTCTTCATCTATCTATCTATCTATCTATCTATCTATCTATCTATCTATCTATCTATCTATCTATCTATCTATCTCAGTCTGTTCATTTTATTATCTATCTATCTATCTATCTATCTATCTATCTATCTATCTATCTATCTATCTATCTATCTATCTCAGTCTGTTCATTATCTAGTCTGATCTATCTATCTATCTATCTATCTATCTATCTATCTATCTATCTATCTATCTTTTCTAATGTTTATCCCGCTAAAATATAAATTTTTCGAAGTCTTCACTAATAAGTGAATTTATACTTTAACACATTGAATAGTAGTGCACGGGGAGTAGCACGACACACACACACACACACACACACACACACACACACACACACACACACACACACACACACACACACACATATATATATTACTTCCAACGTTGTGTATAGCGGATAACCGTATTTGAGTAGACGCTCCGTTTATTTTAAACAGTATTTATTTCATTAAATGGCCTGCGTACACGAGAAAGCCTAATAAAGAAAACGTGCCCTTCGGCAGGATTCGAACCCAGGATATCGTTATTTTTTGTGGATATCCCTATTTGAGTAAACGCTCCGTTAATTTTAAACAGAATTTATTTTGTCTACTAGCCTATGTATTCGACAAAATTTACTAAAGAAAATTTCTTCTCCGGCAGGATTACAACCCACTGCGTTACCCTTTGCATGAGGAAATTGTCAGAACAGGCGTGCAAACATATATTTTGCCTTAAAAGTGCATATATATATATAAAGTGCATATATATATATATATATATATATATATGTGTGTGTGTGTGTGTGTGTAATTATGTGGATAAATCAAGTCACCAGATATTAGCAACCGTATATACTTGGGTTAGTGTGCATTCACAGGTAAGCGAGTAAATATTTACTCAATTTAATATAAGCTGTAAACAAAACATGACTCATTATGGTTAGAGCTAAAAAGTATATATCAATAACTATGCATATACCTGTGGTCGAAGTGCAACTTAATGTTTCGTTGTTCTTCCAACACATCAGAAATTTAAAAAAAGTGAGTCCCAGTTTATTTTTGTAAATCGGACGTAATAATTCGTGTCTGATGAAATGGTAGAACAGCATATAGTATATATATATATATATATATATATATATATATATATATATATATATATATATATATATATATATATATATATATATATATATATATATGTGTGTGTGTGTGTGTGTGTGTAATATATATATAATATATTTAGGTAATAAATTCGTTGGTATATAATCCAAGTTGATTCTAGTAATTAATTTAAAACTGATCTGTAAAATGAGCTCAATGTATTAATAAATACACTGAGTCTTTTTATATTCTTAGAGCAAAAATTAATACACAATAAAATTCAAAATCACCTCATTTTATTCCTATTTTTATTTTATTCATCTTATTCTCCGTATGAGGTGATTTGTGATTTTATTTGTGAATATATATATATATATATATATATATATATATATATATATATATATATATATATATATATATATATAGACACAAACACACATATATGTGTGTGTGTGTGTGTGTGAGTGTATGTGTATGTAAATGTGTGTGTACAATGGCTTCCTGTTTTAGGCTATTATTTTGTTTCCTATTAGTTTTATCTCTTATGGATCAATTATAACAAATTTAGTATGAGAAATAAAGAAATTGAACATAGAATAGGCTGAACCAGAGATAGTTTCGTTCATCACCGTAAGTTGCCACAAAACCAAAACATTATCCTGAAAACTCGAGTCATGTTCTTAAAGAGTTTCATCAGACTGATACTTCATATGGTTGTCATGCGTGGTGCCAAACCCGTTCAGAAATATCTAAAGTTTCAGCTGTATAGAACCGCTTTCTCAGATCAATGTCTTTGAGAGTGTGAAGGGTGAGAATCTTGTCGAAGACCATCCTTCTTCGAGTCTAGTGGATTGGCGCTACAGAATCAAAAACAAAGAATTGTACCAGATAACAAAAAAACTTTATCACATGAGAAGCTTCAAAAGCACCAACAACTAAAATGCATAGCACATGTAACTGGAAGAGAAAATATTGACATAATCAAGATGTTGACATTTCACACTACTTCAAATAAAAAGCTAGGACGGAAATCTCCATCAATACTGGAAAGAGCAATAGCAGCTTTTGGACAATATTCCTGAACAACTGTTTCAAGAGAAAGATTTGATAAATTTCAACGACAGTAGTTCTGGCTGCTCGGTCAATGAACGTGCAATGTTTCCTTATAAGAAAACGGCTGATATTAACATTACCATTATTTTTTTGAAAATCCCAGGACATCTTCCAATTTAAAACAGTGAAGTAATCATTATATTGCTTTACCGGGCTAATTCTTTTTTTTATTTTGTTTTGTTCCGATATTTTAATCAAATAATAAATCTAAACTTAGACCCTAAAAATAATGCAATGAAAGTCAAGAGAATTAGTAATTACTATTACCATTTTTTTAGAAATAGTTGTAACAATATAGAGACATTTTCAATTGTAGTCGTCATTGAGTTGGTAGGGAGTGATTGCATAAATTTCTACGGCTTAACAATTTGATTATGCTTTTTTTTTTTTTTAAGCAAATCGTCCCAAGAAAGGCGAGAGTGCTCCTAGCACGCAAGGGGTTACAGGGAATGAGAGTAAGCGTAAAGAGGAGTGTTTTGGAAAAGGATAAAGAGAAGAACAGGGATCAAGGTCAAGGCATCAGAAGATGTCGATTGACATTACATTTGAATATTTGCAGATTGTAGCTAGCAGGGAAGCAAGTGATAGGAAGGGAGTTCCACTGATGAGAGGTGCGAAATAAGAAGCTGTTGGAGTAGAAGAGATGGCTACATTTAGCCGTTTCGACAGTGGAACGGTGAGACAGTGATGCCAACCTAGTAGTACGCCTAAATTCATGCAATTTAGGAACCAGTGAAAGTAGCTCGGAGGAGGAGTTGCCATGAAAGTTCTTGTACAAAAGATAGAGGGAAGCCACAGTACATCTGTGGGATAGTAACTGCAGACGGGATGTCAGATAAGGACCTACCGCATTGCATATCCTTCTCTGGATTTTGTGTAGTACCTCAAGATGAACAGAGGGACCACCAGGTCATATATGGCAGCAGTATTCCTTGCAAGGACGAATGGCTTATTTGTAGATCTGTAAGATGGACACCGGCGACAAGAACCTTCTCCATTTGTAGAAATTATTGTTTTTAGGAAATTGATCAGAATCCATGTAATCATTGCATTGCTGTGAACGTTTAACACTGGCCAGCCAAAAAAAAAAAAAAAAAAAATTGTTTCTCAAAAGGCACAGGATATTAGAACGTTTTTGGTAAATCAGTATCACTGAATCTGAAAATGTGCTTAATTCTGTTTAATTGTCCCCATTTTTCAAGATATTGGATAAATAAATAAATGTCAATAACTTAATTTTTTCTGAACATGCTAGATTTGCTTTTATTACTCGTCACTTTATTTATGTTAAGGGAGATAACTCTACCCAAGAAAGCGAATCCTTCAATTTGAGTACGAAAAATCACTTCCGGACAGGATACTTCCGAACAAGGAGAGAAACAAGATGGCTGTCTTTTAAATGCACGCACGTGGATTGATTTTAATCCCTTTTCATCCACCTGTATCAAGTAAGATGAGTAAAAAAATAAATATTGTTTGTATTTCAAATACAGTTGGTCTTTTATTTTATATTCTTTGTTTATCCTATAAGTCTGGAATATAACTGTTTATATTCTTTAATACTGTATAATTCTTTAGATATTAAAGAGAAACTTTTAATACCAATGTTCTTGTTACAGATACGAATGACATTATAGAAGCCAGAAATCCCTAGCCAATCTGCTGCTACCAGTCATGAAGACAGGATTTGTGTATCAGGCTCTGCTGGTAACCTAGTGTCTCTATATTCCAAGTATACAAAACTTTAATCATGAATTCTAAGTTTAAACGTTGCCAAAATGAGCCTGGCACATTCTGTGGTGAATATACGATAAAAGTGCATCGTTTCACTATTCAAGATTTCACCAGACGAGAACATTCAAACTTACTTTGTTGGAAGAGTGGAAATCAAAATAAGTCATAAAGATTGTAAGAATTGTACTGAAACCCTTCGCTTGTGGATTCAAGGTGAAGCTCGCTACACGGATGGTGGGCCGAGAGCCCAACAAATCAATCATAATGACAATTGCTAATTATTTATGGTGAACATGTTAGGAGGGAATGGTCACAAGAAGCAGTCGTGACGAAATCCTGATATTGAATCTTCAAGGCGGCCAGTTCCACATTGTAGTGGTGTTCCCATTCCAGTTTTTACTCGCTTGCTTGATCTTGATCAAGACGATAACGCTATGAATATGGCAGAAGCACTGGATGAAGATTCTGACATCAGCAGCAACAGCAGTAGTAGCAATAGTAGTATCTACAGTAGTAGTAGTAGTAGTAGTATCTACCATTCGTATTTGGGAGATTGAAGCTTTTCACAGAAGGAGACCTGAATGACTTGATTATTGATCTAGCTTTATCAAAAGAGGCAGCTTAGATTTTAGGCTCTTTTGAGTATCGTGTTCTTGATTCTGAAGCTAACATTTTACCGTAACAGAGACGAGGAACTTTATTCTAGTAAAAAAGACAACTTTGTGTTTTACAACAACATCCAAGGCCTTCTTTAAGTAATAAATCCAATCCAGCTGAGTGGCGTTTATTTACTGACAGCTCTAAATGAAGTTTGAAGTGTGTATTTTTGCACAATGGTGGCAAGTTTGCTTTATCCCGATTGGCTATTCAGTAATCTTGAAAGGGTGCTACACGAGTGTAAAGATTGTTCTACAAATACTGTGTTATGATGAACATAAGTGGATGATACGTGTTCATTTTGAAATGGTTAACTTTCCGTTAGGGCAGGAAAGTGGTTTTAACACGAGTCGATGTTTCCTTTGTCTATGGAATAATAGCACCAACGATCGGCATTGGGAAAAGAAGGATTGGCTTATTTGTGAAGAACTTGTGGGTACGAAAAATGCCATAAATGAACCATTCGTTATCCGTGATCGCATCATACATAACAAAGTTGGGCCTAATGAAACTATTTGTCGAGGCATTAGATCAAAATGGCGTATGCTTCAGTTATATTTGCTCGGAATTTCCTGGTTTGTGTAATGGGAAACTGAAGGCAGGAACTTTTTGATGGAACACAAATGAGA